TCACGATCCTAAATTTGTCACTAAAAGGAAACCAGTGCATAAATGTAAAAAGAAAAGTTCATTTAATGCTCTAAACCAAATTCACAGATGGTTTTGCTTGTTTATCCCGATGATGGTACATCAAAAATAGCGAGAACTAATAGCTTTCTTTAAAAGAGAGCCACAGTTATACCTCCGCATATGTGGAAGACGGAACAATAATCCCCCACGTATGTCCATGTCCTAACCCTTGGAACCTGGAGCCGTCTGACCATAGATAGTAAGGAGATTTCACAGAATGGGTTGAATCCCAGATATGGAGATGAAAGAGTACGCCTCTAGACCCCACGCATGGCCCCAGCAAGACATAAGGAACTGGTGATTAATATTCATAGCTGCATAGCTACATGAGTGAGTGCATGCATGGGAGAGAGAAGCAGAGTCAAATCCAGCAGCGTGAGTCTGCCGCAGCTGACTCTGAAGGTGAATGGACAGAGACACACGCCTGGGAATGTAAGCATCTTCTGGAAACTGAGGAAGAGAAGAAATCTCCCCTCCAAATGGCTCTGGAAAGGGACGCAGCCCTCAGGACACCTTAATTTTAGTCCTGTGAAGCTGAAGCCAGACTGTCAGAATCAGAAGCCACGAGGCTGGATGCTGCTTGTGGGAGCCGCCGTAGGAGGCTAATCCGGCCTGCTTCAGCAGCACACTGAATCTAGAGCAGTGTGATACATTTATTTAGTCTTTCCCACCAATATCAGGAAATACAAATGAATTCTTGCTTGTTTTTTTCTTTTGTCACAAACGCTGTGATGTGACTACCGAAACCAAGCCACGGGCCATACCTGAGTATAACAGATGGAGGATTGGTTTCTGAATGACATCTCTCACTCCCCGTCCATGCAAAGTTCAAGCACAGACTCATTTTCCTACTGGTCTACATCCTGGCCCATCCTTAGTGTTTACAGCTGATCCTAAATTTGCGCCTCCCCATGCTCACTAAATGACTTGAATTACCCAGTCTTGAAGGGAGGAGGGAAGACTCAGCTAGGAAGCTGCCTTCAGAGCGTGTGACTTTCAAACTCAGACCCTGAGTTTGTTTAGGGTGCTCCCGGGCCACAGCTGGTCCCTCCTTCCTGCTTCCCAACAGCTGTTTAGCCAAGCTCGGCCCTGAGCTGCAACAGTGAGTAAGCAACTGAGTGTTTTCCTAAATGGTGCAGACTAGCTAGGGCAAAGCCAAGAACATCCCCCACAAGGGGCTTCCTGTGACTGTGCCAGGGCCTTCAAAAGGGGAGGGAACAAAAGATTTAAAAAAAAAATCAGAATGTAACCCTCTGTGAGATCCAACACCGAATTCCAAATCATCCCGAATAATTGAAAGTGGAATTAGCATAAGAATGAGATGGAATACGTGCATTCTTAGCTGGCAAAGCAGCCCCTGGTATGAAAACGGTTTGACATCTAATTTAATCTCTTTGATGATCTGAAGTCACTTCAGGGTGCCTGTGGTATTTGCAAACATGAATATTAACCATTAGGATATAGGACGCATAAAATGGTTGAGGACGTCTGAGTCTTCCTTTGTCAGGCTTCTTAAGACCCTCATAGTCACACAGGCATGTTTGAAGGCCATGTGTGTTCTTAGAGTTTAGATCTGGCGCTTAGGAAGGCATGGCAATGGCTAGGGCACCCTACAATGAGGAGCATGCCTGTGGCAGGCTCAGCACACCTTCATGGTTTACCAGGCCCTCGCCCCAAGTGCCAAGTGTCTGCTGGCATCCTCTGCTTGTCCTGCGGGTTTTCTCACTTTCTCTTCCAAACTGCACTCCAAGGCATAGTGTCTTTTCTGAACACTGCTCCCCTTGCCAGGGTCCCTGCTACGCTATGATTGACAGAGGAGCACAGCTGAGTCTCCATTTCCCAAAGATCACACCTTTGATGGTTCCCTCCCGTCTTGGTATTTACAAATTCAGCAGCAGGAGCCACAAAACCCACTAGGAAAACTGGGCGAACAATGTCAGGGACAACACTGATTCACAGGTATTTCCAGTGCAGACTCCACTTAGAAAGAAATCATGTCCAAACTGAGGACCGGCTCAGCCCTCTGCGCTCTTCCAAGGGTGGAGCCCAGCCCTCCGAGCCAGGAAAGGCGGAACCCTGGGAAGTAAGAGCTAAGGTGCGGTTTACTGAGTGTGGCTGCCTCGTGCTCGCGAAGCACCTTGTCCTCGTCCCAGCATCAAATAAGAAAACAAATCACAACAGCCAGAAAGCCCAATAAGGGTGCACGCTACAGATGGATCCTGTGTGCCCAGAGCCCAGTGTGCAAAGGTTTGGTTCTGTGCCTGTGGCCATACGGGAAGGAGGCAGATCTACACGAGATGGAGCCTGTTGGGGATGTCTTCAGGTGACTGGGGGCGAGTTCTCTCTCCGTAAGTCCATTGGTTGAGGCATTTGTTGCAGTAACAGAAATGTTACTAGCACAATGAATATCTTTGGAATTTTAATTTTTGTTTAATTAGCAAAGATTAAGGAAAATCCAAGATGTAAAATGATATGGAGATGTCCTATTTATGCTTGAGGGGGCATTAGGAAAAATACCCTGACAGAATGAATCTTAGAAATGATGCTCACGCCCTTCGACCCAGTTATTGGGATTCCAGATTCCAGGCCAAGAAAATTATCCTATAAATAAATATATATATATGTATATATATATATTATAGATTTATTTTATTTTTAAAAGATAAACTATTTTGTCTAATAGTGAAAACTGGAAGTAGCCTAAATATCCAGCAGTAAAAATTTAAGTAATTATAATATACTGTTGGATTATTATGTAGCCATTGCCTATCTTTATTAAACATTTTATGACATCTTTATAAACACAGAGATACTTGTGTTTTTTAGTAGGTGAAAATGGCAAGACAGAAAATTACATATACTTTATAGAATTAATTGAATTTTTAATGCAGTGTAAGAGGGTCAGAAAATATGCCATTTACAAATTTTCAGTAGTGAATTTCTTTGTGGGTAGGATGGAATAATGAATAATTTTCTCTTAATATTTTTATTTTATTGTCCAGGTATGGGTGTTTGCTTGCATGTATGTCCTGTGGAGGCCAGAAGAGGGCATTGTGTCTTCTGCAACTGGAGTTACAGACGGCTGTGAACTATCGCGTGTGCTGGGAATTGAACCCAGGTGCTTTGGAAGAACAACCAGTTCCTAACCGCTGAACTATCTCTCAAGCCCACTTATCAAGCCCTTTATCTGCCTGTCTTTTACATTTGCTGTCCACCCTCGCAGGGGAGGGCAGACAGCCTTTATTTCTGCTAAAATCTACATCACTAAGGGATTATTTTGATGTAACTTTTTAATTTAGTTTCCCTCTGGGGAAGGGACAGTTACTGGTGAACAGTCAGGAAAGAGAAGTGCCTAGCAGAGCTCGGAGACATTCCTGGGGGAGGCAGTGTCCTGGAGACTCCTGGTCCTGCATCTTCCCAATGCTTGTGCTGTCCTTTTAACACCCCTGCAGGCTCCACCCTCCGTCCTTGCTGCACGGTTCAGTCACAGCTCTACAGTAGTCTTTTCCGCTCTGTCTGGTTTCCACTGGTCATGGTCCCTGAGGTTCTCTGCCAGCTAGCTACACTCTTCTCTTGTTACACCCCTTTCCATGCAGCACCCCAACATTTTCCCAGGGCAGCCACTCTAAGTAGGACATCTGTCCAGATGTTCCCAGGTGAATAGAACCTCTGAACTAAGCCCTCCAAGAAACCCGACCCACTCTCTTGACCCCGCTCTCTGCTGGTATATGCTACCCTACTGTGCTCCACCTGCCGGGACCGCAGTGGTAGCCAGTTGTCCTTGGCTTGGTCATCCACCTAGTCCTTAATAATGCCTGCTGCTGAAGCCCTCCTAACCTTCTTGGGCTTGTCTCTGGGTCCCACCCACGGCTTAGCGCTCTGCCACAGCCACTGTCCTACCAGCAATTCCCCGGAGGGGGTGGTTCCGGGAGGCCAAATGCACCGTCTCCTAGGAAAGTGATGATCTATTTGTATCTCTGATGGACAGAGCTTTGAGTCCAGACCCTGCTCTTGTTTAAGAGTCTATAAAGCTGTAAATTAACGACAACCGTCTTTTCTCTGTGGCTGGCCCTGGGCTAGGCAGGGGTGGTTCGGATGACAACAGCATCCATAGGTTCATGTTTGAAAGCTTGGTCTACAGGTAGTGAAGCTGTCTAGAAAGGTTTAGGAGGTGTGGCCTTGTTGGAGTAGGTGAGTCACTGGGGATGAGGGATGAGGTTTCAAAAGCCCACACCAGGCCCAGTCTCTCTCTCTGCCTTTGGATCAGGATGTAAGGTTCTCAGCTACTGCTCCGGTGCCTGCCTGTCTGCTTCCTGTCATGATGACCATGAATTAACCTTCCAAATCGGTAAGCAAGCCCCGAACTAAATGCTTTCTTTTGTAAGAGTTGCCTTGGCCATGGCGTCTCTTCACAGCAACAGAACAGTAACATGGAGAATCATGTCTAATCTTAACCCCATGACACGACAGTTCTGTTTTACAGGTGAAGACACTCCTTCTGGCCAAGGGATCAAAGCCACAGAGTTAGTCCCTGAAAAATGCAGGTGGATACCCAACTTGGGGCTTTACTAGTGACACAGCTTTAGAAGACATGACCCCAAACTCCAAGTCTGAGCAGGCTGTTGTAGCTGATCAATGGGAAGATTGTAACAAGGATGGCCAACAGAAGAGCCCCGTCCCTCCACAGTGTGGTGACCACTGACAGGTAAGAATGTGTAGGAGCTGGAGCTGGAGCTCCTATGTTTTCAAGAGATTCCAACCAATGTAGATTTTTATGTAATTTCTGTTGCATGCAAATTTAAAAATTTCAAAAAACACCGAGTGAACCATATTAACCGCCCTGGCAACACACCATCTTATAAACTCAGACCCACACTCTCCTGGGGCCCATCTGGGTCTTGTGACAAATGCCCTTATCTCTACCAGGCCAGGGGCCCTACCTGTACAATCTCCAGCATCTCTGCCTTGCTGATGTAGCCGTTGCCGTCCAGGTCGTACATGCTGAAGGCCCACTTGAGCTTCTGCTCCAGCTTGCCCCTCGACGTTACACTCAGGGCGATGATGAACTCCCTAAAGTCTATTGTCCCGTCTCCGTTTGCATCGAAGGTGCGGAAGACATGCTCTGCAAATTTGGAAGCATCCCCATAAGGGAAAAAGTTCCCGTATATTTTCTTAAACTCTTCCATTGATAAGTGTCCGCTCGGGCAGTCTCTCAAGAAGCCTTTGTACCACTCCTGGATCTCGTGCTCAGTGAAGTCCGTGCTCTCCAGCAAGTCCTGCATGACTTCAGGGCGCAGTTTGCTGTTCTGTTTCCCCATCCTGGTGGCAAGAATTCAACTGCAGAGAGAAAAGAAAATATATATCATAGTTTTTAGAGCTATCTTTTAGGGCCATGTGATCGTCTGGGATTATTCCTTGGGAAGAGGGGAAAACAAACTCTATATTAGCCCGATAGCTAAAGAAAATGATGGGAAACAGGTCAAAGATGCAGAAAAGTCATGTTAGCCAGAACAAACCAGAAAGGAAACAATGGATGGATAGATAAATGGATGAATGGATGGATGGACGGGCGGACGGACGGATGGACGATTGGTCAGATGGGTGAATAGATGGTCAGATAGGCACGTAGAAGGAAGGTAGACAATTCATTCTTGATTTATCAATTTGCAAGAGTTCTAATTTCAAATCTTTTAAGTAGAACTAAAAGAACAGAAGAGGGAGAGGGAGAAGGAGAGAGAGAGGGAGAGAGGAAGAGAGGGGGGAGGGAGGGAGGGAAGGAAAGAGAGGGAGAGAGAAAGAGATCTTAGCATGTTTCATTCTCAGTATGCTTCCCTGTAAAGTGTGAGTCGTGTGCTTCTGGAAGCCATAAGTGCAAGAAGAAGGAAAATGGAAACCCAGTGTGAACCTCCGCTGCTCCAATTAGACCCAGAGGGAGTCACGGGCCACTTGGCGTGTAGATGGTGAAGATGGTGATTGTGGCCTAGGGAACAGGCCCAAACCTTGTATCGTCTTATCCTAACAGTGGCACGTGCCCACAACCAAACAGTAAACTACCACAGCGATCCACAGAACAAACCAGCAGCATCTTCAGACCCGAGTCACTGAGACAAACACAGCGAGTATTTTGGTGTGAGTGCTTCCCCATTGTGTGTGTGTAGACTTATTTAAATGTTATTAAACTTAGTTCCCAGATTAACTATGTTTTCAACTTGACAATGGTACAAAAGTGATACATATCCAGCAGAATTGTACTTTTGTGAATTTTGAGTTTGGGGCATCGCCCAGACCAGTGATATCTGGTTCTGTGCTCCCCCAGCTGTATGGCATGGTTGTGTCTTAGCTCCGAGGGTGGCACGTCCACGAGGAGGCTGCAGATACTCTCCAGCAGGCCTTCTACTGAGACTCTTCTCACCCAAAATAGCTTTACGTGACTATGGGGTCACACAAGAGTACAACGTAGATATGCAGTTGAAACACTTAACTTATAATAAACCAGTTGCTAATGGTAACAGCAGAATTAGCTACTAATGAGACGGGTGTGCTTGTTTGCCTAGCACAGTCTAACCCAGAGATGCACCGATTCCAGACAGATACAAGCAAGGAAGGCAGAAGGAAGATATGAAACATCTTTGTTGTCTGTGATTAAACCTGTCTGCTTTCACCACAATGGAAGCTTTTGTGTACAGAGTAGACACGCTGGAGACTACCATGAAGGAGACTTGAATCCCGCTGCGCTGTTTCGGGCAGATATCATTGGCCTGTGTGGTGTGGCAGCGGGCTGTGTGGTGCAAAGTGTGCACATCGAGCCTCGGGAGCCAATGCTGCAGTGACGTCTCACGGTGCAACTCACGCAAGCTCCGCTGGAAACATCTCGGTTCACTGTGTGTTTGACTTTGAGTTAAAAATTACACTAGATTTATTTGTGTGTTTGAAAATTTTGCCTGCACAATGTGTATCTGTATGGGCCTGGTGCCTGAGAAGGTCAGAAGAGGGCATTGGACCCTCTAGAACTGGAATTGCGGACGATTGTGAGCTGACTTGTGGGAGCTGGGAACTGAACTGAGATCCTCTGCAAGAGCAGTCAGTGCTCTTAACCCCTGAGTCATCTCTCCAGTCCTTGAATTAATCTTTGGTATTGAGAAGCCTTTTACCTGATGCCAAGTATTCACATGCTACACATTCCCTGGAGGGATCTCATGTGCAGTCCTGACCTACAGCTGAGAGCTTTGTTCTACAGTGGGCTGGGATGCCCAGATGCTGTGTGGGTGAGATGTATTTGGTCTGGGGCCTTCTATATCAACTAACAATTGAGACAGTCCTCCACAGATACACCCACAGGCCAATCTGATGTAGGCAATTCCTCGCAAAATTGACTAGAGACTGTGTCACGGTGACCGTCAACACTAGCTAGGACTGTAGTCAGAATACACCCCTTGTCATAGAAGAGGCTGCACCCTTGCATTTACAGGCGACCTGAGGACAATACAACCCAATCTTAATCCTGACTGATTTCCCCCGTTGGAGTATTTATCATGCCTCCCTCCCCCCTGCACACACACACTGTCTGCCCTGCAGGCAGATAGTATTGGGAGGCGCTGGCTTTGCTTCTCTAGGGTTCATCCCACTGGGCCTATTGTGAACTAAGGCCAAAGGAACGAGTGGGAAAAACATGGCTGGTAGACAGAAAGATGACTAATTACCAGATGGACATGCAGGATCGTCCTGAAAGAGGAGGCATTGCCAGGAGGAAGACTGGCTTTCCCATGCTTTTCACTAGGAACCACCCGCGTGGTTAGAGTGGCAGCTTGGTCTCAGAGCCTCTGGTACTGAACTGTCTGTCTGAGGCCCTTACTCGGAAGAAATTCCTACAGGGCAGTGTTTGCGGCTCCCAGGGCTCAAACCTTTGTAACATGCATAGACGGGGAACCTTAGGATCCTTCGGAATTGCCTGACTAGTTGGTTTTGACTTTCTCAAGTTTTATTTTCTCTGTAATCGACACATAGTAATTGTATATACGTGACTTCCAATGCGATGTTTGTACAGACGTGTGCCCAGTGTGATGGTCAGATCATGCTAGTTAGCATATGCATCATCTCAAACATCTTCAAAGCTTCTTTGCTAGCTATTTTGCAACACACAATACACCATTGTTAACGGTGCCCGACTGTGCGGGAGAACAACGAAGCCTGTCCCCTCATCTAGCTCTGGCACTCAGTCTCACTCCTGTTAGAATCTGAGTTCGGCACTGCAGCTGGAACCCGGCTTCGACTCCCACGAGGCGACCTCTGAGGGATAGGAAGAGGCGGACTTTCCTTCTATTAGCGTGAGCGACAGCTGCAGGGAGACCTCATTCAGAGGTCCCTGTGAATGTGAGGCTGAGCAAAACCCACTTATCCAGAGAAAAAAATTAACTTACAAATGAAGCACAGATTGGATTTATAAACTGAACATCCCAATAATGTTCACTTCCCTCTCCTCGAGGTAAGAATCCTCCCAGAGATAGAGGCTCGCTTGTATTAGAATTTTAAAACCCTCATTTAGTTGTTACATTGGCAATTTGCCTGTGGCCAGAATTCAGAAACAGGAGTTGATACATAATGCATAGGTTTGCAGAGAGCCAACATATTTTAATGGGATTTGCAAGTGATTGCAAGTTCTTCTTTCAAGAGCTCTGCGGACTTCAGCTCTTTGGTAGTATCCATCCAATCGGATCACTGCCATGTTTCAAATCCGATTGCCACCATTACAGTTCTGTCAGATGCAAATCACTTAGTGCCTGAGGAAGTGGCGGTTGCTATTTTAATATTTAGATCTACCTGTTCAAGGAGTGACTTCTTTTCCTGTAGAAACAAATCTCTGCTTCTTCAAAGCCAACTTCCAGTCCTTTCCCAGCCTTTGTAAAGTACTTCTCACTTATTAGTTGCTTCGTACAGGGAACAACATTTCCTCAACATCCTGACTAACTCTCTCGGAAGGCTGATCTGTGTGCAGCTATTTTTCAGTAAACACTAATTAAACCACATTCACAATCTCATTAGCACAGAAAGACCGTAACACAAACAGAGAGAAGAGCAGAAACTAAGTCATCTGGGAATTCGGCGTTTGCAGCTCCGTCCAGGATTTGTTTCTGGAGCTGTCAACAATTACTCGACTGAGTACTGATGTCTGAACTTGATTACACCATCTGCACTTGCTTGGCCAGAAAGAAACCAGAAGCCTTGACCTGTGATAGGCTTTCATTCATGGGTAGACCTGGGATAGGCTTTCATTCATGGGTAGACCTGGGATAGGCTTTCATTCATGGGTAGACTTTGTTAGACTTTCATTCATGGGTAGATCCTCACTAGGCTTTCATACATGGATAGACCTAGAGACCTGTGATAGGCTTTCAATCGTGGGTAGGTCTAGGATAGTATTTCATTCGTGGGTAGACTTGATTTTGGACCTAACAGGACAGAGGAGAGGGCAGGGGTTCAGGAGCTGGAGAGAGTTCATCAGGAAGGACTATGCACTGCCCTTACAGAGGACCTGAGTTCAGTCCCCATCACCCACATTCCCACACTGGGAGACTCACAGTCCCTGTAACTCCCATCCCCAGGAGATCTGCATGCACACCTGCCCATACATGAACATACACACACATAAATAAGATTTTTTTTTAAAAAAAGAAAATGCTTGGGTTCAAAGGCTAGCTCTGTTGTTTAATTGTTGAGGAAATGATTTAATTCGGGAGTGCGCCTCGGTGAAATGAGTTCAATATTGCAGGTTCACATTCTGCTCTCCTGACGTGAGGATGCAGTGAGGCATCGTGTATAGAAAGGGTCTGGTGTTGAGTTAGGGATGATTTTGTGGTAAAGGCTGGTGCGCTGCAGGTTGGTTCCCAGCGGTGTTAGTAGAGTCACTAACAGGCGAGGCCTGCTGGAAGGTAGGTAGGTTGTGGGGTTCCTCCATCACAAACGATGTAATGCTGCCTTGCAGGAGAGGGATAAGTCCCTTGCATCACCTCCTGAGAAAATGGGTTATTACAGAAGGGCCAGGCGTGCCCCTTCCCAGCTTCCTGCTTTCTATTTTGTTATGTGACCTCTCTCAGTGTCACATGCCCCTGACATGATGACACCTACCATGTTGTGACAGGACTCAAAGGCCCTTACCAGAGGTCAACAGACAGAGCCACCTATCATAGCCTTCCTACCTCCAAAACTATGAAATAAATACACTGGCTTTCATGTGAATACAGCCTCAGGTATTTTGTCTCAGGAAAACGAAAGAGTAAGACAATGGACCTTCATGCGCTATTTTACTGAACGGTCACGTTAACCCTGTGTGACCGGCAGGG